TACAAGAAATGAATGCCCAGTGATGGCCTGGGGCTAAAGCAACATTAAAGCCTTGTTTGGGCTACCCATAATTTTTATTAAACTTTTTAAAAATATTAGTGGTAGTCACTGCTGGTAAAGTATTAAGATAAAAATCTCATTTTTATAATGTCTTGCCTAATAGGAGCTTCAGAAGAGTGTTTTATAACATTTTGGAGTACAGCTAATGTCTAACCCGCGTCTAGTTTGTCACATCTTCTGCAGTATCTATCAGAAGGCAACGATGGATTTCGTAATTGGCTGTGTATATATATATTTATACAGTTGGGCTGCTGAGAAGGGGCTTGCTCTTGAGCAATACTGTGCTACTGAACACTGATGTACTGTTAATGTATTTAGCAGTGATTTAGAGACATCCAGCCTGAAATTCGGCAGCATGCTTAGGAAGGGAAAAAGAAGACTCACTCTAATAGGTGAGAGAGCTTTTTATCTTCCTGCTTTTAACAAGAAACCTGAGGCTTGCAGTTTAAGGGAGTTCAGAGAGCAGGCCTCACTCTCCCTCAAATCACCTTTCGTAATCTTTTCTCCCAAGATGTCTGTTATGCTCCCAGTTACATAGTTGGTGTCTTACCTGGATCTTAAAAGAACAGAGTTTGGATTGCAGACTTGCAGGTGATTGCTTGTGTTACAGGTTTTTACCTCTTAAAATTTTACATCAGCCATTCACAACCCAACTCCCCGTTTTAATTCCTTCGAAAAGAAAGGAATGTAGAATAAATGAAAGGTAGACTGGATATATAGTGAATATACGTTTTGTTTCGCACAGTAATTTCACTCAGAACTGTAAAGATGCAGCTCTGTCTGTTTGTTTCTCTACTGTTATAATCAGGTAGATGCACACAAGCACCAGCTTTCTGCTCCATACAAATTCACTCTCTTCCTGCTGGTGCTCTCTTTTTGCTCACAGTCTCAGCCTTCCATTTGACAGCTCAGTTGCTGCAAAGATGATTGGGATGTCAGCTGCAGAAGGTTAAGAACATCAAGAAAAAAACTACCAGCAGGAGCTGATACAGTCTTGGGTAATGAGAAATCCTATTCTGAGACACAGAGACATCTTACCAAAAAGACCCATGGGTTTATCTTCGGGCAGGCATTGCAAAGAATGCAAGAGCTCTGAATTGCATGAATTCTTGCTGTGCTGCAACAGTTGACAAATTTAGTTTAAACTAGCTTTTAGTAATATAAAAATTGAAACTATAAATGCCATGCAAAAAAATAAACAGCTGGATTCAGACAGTATAAAATCTTTGCCAGACGCGTCCTACAGCGACGGTCAACCTTCCTGAGAGAAGGGAGCTGTTGTTCTGCCTCCCCTTCACTTAGTGAAGGAGGGTTTATGTTCCTGGAAGCTGGTCTGCTTTTTTTCAACTGTATCAGCTGGTCCAATGAAAACATTACCTCTCCCTACAGAGCTTGTCTCGCAAAGT